GCAGAAGCACTGGACCACAATGGCACGGATTCGCAATGTCCCACGAGGCCGAGACACGAGTAAAAGGCCGGATGACAGGCAGTAATTAGTTCATTTATTGGAAGAAATGAAGGTGATTAAATAATATGTACAAAGGAGATTATTGGCTATCTGGGTATCCACCAATTGGATTGCAGTACTGCTTGCATAATTTGCTTCTGTTTGCATTGTCTTGGATTGGCGGGCACCGTCCGCCAATGACGTGTATTCAGAAGCTATGCACTTGTTATTGATGTCAACATTCAAACTTGATTGATCGCCAATGTCCTGAAACTGTAACGTGTCGCTCCAGAGTAGGCGCCATCGTGTAGGCCTGGATCACCACATTTTGGCATAATGCTTGTTAGTACCTTCTTCTCCAGCTTTTGCATTACGGCTTCGGCTATGAATCCAGAAATTGGCGAGCTCGTTGGTGTTTCTTTCAGCTGTTCGTATATTTCACCCTCGAATTTGAAGTACGTCTGCATGCATAGCTCCATGAGTTCGCAAATGGCAGATGTTTCCGTTGGTGGGTTTGGTGGGTGCTCAGTCATCAGTTCCCGCAACGTGGATCTTGCCAGGTCCAAGTCGACTGAAGTGAACAAAGCGGTGACGTCGAACGAGACCATTATGTCGTCTTATTGGATGTTGAAAGTTTTCAGCTTGTCCAGGAACTGCCTTGAGTCCAGTGATGAGCGGCTTCAATCAGTTCCATAATTATTGTGCTAACTTGCATGTGGCTGTTACTGGAAGTGAGACGATCAGTCTCAGGAGAATTCATTCCTAGTGTATCTTCGGCAGTCCGTAGATTAATGCAATAACGGAGTTTTTGGTTCTCATTCTCCACTGCTCCGCTTTGGTTAGTTGATGCAGTTTCTCCAGCTGTTTAAATGTGGTATTGATTTTATTTTCCAGTTTTTGTTGTGGGGGCCATGTCGATTGTGCGGTAGGTGTTTGTATCTTGGAGTAGACCCCTAGCCTTTTTAATGTAGTCAGTTTTGTCCATCACCACAGTAATTCGTCCTTTATCTGCTGGTAGGATGACGATATTTTTTGTCCATCTTCTGTGTTTTGACTGCTTTGTCCTTGCAGCTTGACAGCATGTTGGGTTTTTCTTTTCGTATCAGGTCTGGGACGACTGTTTTTCGGATGGTTTGTTTCGTATCCCCAGGTTTCGCGGACGAGTTGAGAGTTTGTTCCAGTTTCGCCAAGTATTCCCTGTTTGTTGCATTTCTCACGTTGAAATTAAGTCCTTTAATGAGGACTCGT